CAACTGTCGAACTCTATGATACTACAGCTCTGGCAGCAGAATGGAAAGGATGAGGCTGGAACATGGAGCAGGCTTCACTGGAAGCGAACAGAACAAAAACATTTTGAGTGAATTCCAGGGAGTAGAATCGCACAAAGGAGGAGCAACTTGGGATGCTATGAAAGTAGGATAAACTGAGTAAACTAAATGAACAGTAGAGGTGTTGGGGAACTTTCACAGTGATTGAATTGAATTTAAATTATTTTCCAATAATCTGATCAGTGGCAATGTGCAACCAGAATGGATGTGTGTTGGCTTCTATTTCGTGTAGTTTGAAATTAGATAGAATTACATAGTGTTTTACAGCAGAACTGGGCCCAACAGGTTCAGGGCAACAGGTGTGTGCAACTGTGCACACAACCTCTTCTGTGTTTCCTTATCTCATCTTCTCAACATGTTTTCCTATTGGTTTCTCCCTCGTGTATTTGTCTAACTCACCTCAAATGCTATTCACTTCTATGCTATTAGTTGCAACCATTCTATGTGGTAGTGAGTTCCACATTCTCTCTACTCTTGAGTAAAGAAATTTCCCCTGGATTTCTTGGTGACTGTCTTGTATTTAAAGTGCCCAGTTTTGGATTTTTTCCCGACAATCCAAAAATTTCTCTCTGCATCTACTCTATTGAACATTTCCATAATTTTAAAATGTCTGTAATTCTCTTTCTAACATATATTCAAAAATAAACATTCATTGATTGGAGAATCCATCATCATAGTATTATGCATGCACAAAATTTGTTTATTTAATATTCTCCAAAAGTAATCATTTTATGTGGTTGATCCTAATTTGAGTATCTTTGTACAGTTAAAGCATCACCTTGTTATTATTGCCTAGGATGCAATGGAAATTAGTGGATTTGACTTGTTGTGAATGGTAAGCAATGCATCTTTTCTGGAATGCTTATGTAGCAGTATAGCATGGCTAACTATCTTGGGGTTTATCTTACAGAAGTTCAAGAAGGATCCATATACAACAACATTAGGAGGCTTTTCAAAAGTTACAAACTACCTTATGTATGCATTTCGTGGTTATGATGTCACATCCCAACAAAGACCTGCATCTGAAATGGATCTCAGTGAATCTATTTCGGGCCTGGAAATTAATCATCAGGAGGAGCCAGGTTTTGAAGTCATCACACGAGTGAGTTATCTTAATGCCTTAAACCTGTGTTCGTTAAGGGTATTTTATAAAATTTTCGGCTTTTAATGTGTATTTTAGTAATTCTGTTGTTTGCTTGTAAAGGTGGTATTGAGTAGAACTAAGTTAAAATCATTCATTTTAATTTCATCTATTTCAGATTGATCTTGGAACAAGACCTGAAATTCAAAGAGGAGAACCAGTTTCCATTGAGAGGTGGTTGCAATGCATGGATGCAGAAGGAAAAGTCCTAGATCCAGACAATGTGAAAAAAATGATATTCAAGGGGGTAAATGCATTCTTTTAAAACAGTTTACACTTGCTGTTTTTATTTCAGATTTCTAGCATCTGCAGTATGTTGCTTTCATTATAGCCAGCATGAATTTGCAAATAGAAAATTGTGTTTGATTAATTTTTTGGAGCTTTTTTTGAGGATGTTACTAACAAGATTGATAATAGAAAGTCATTGGGTGTAGTATACTTCAATTTTTAGCAGGCCTTTGATAAAGTTCCCAACAGGAGGCTGGTCAGAAAAATTAAAAAATATGGGACAGGAGATAATGTACTAGCAATGACTGATGATTGGCTATCAGCCAGTAAACAGAGAGTAAGAATAAATGGGTCATTCCTGTGTTGGCACTGTGACTAGTGGGCTGTTGCAACAATGAAAATTTGGGGCCCAGCTATTGACGTATATATCAATGACTTAGACATGGGGACCAATTATAATCTAAATTTTCAGGTGATACAAAGCTAAGTGGGAATGTATGTTGTGAGGAAGACGTAAAGCGGCTTCAGAAGAATTTGGATAAGTGAATGGGCAAGAATATGGAAGATAATGTGTAAAAGTGTGAAGTTGTCCCCTTTGGTAGGAGAAACAGATGAGCAGGGTATTTCTTAAATGGTGGGAGGTTGAAAATTGTAAATGTACAGAGAGACCTATGTGTCCTGTCAGTAAGGGATAGCAAGCCATTAGGAAAGCTTATGGAATGTTAGCCTTTACTGCAGGTAGATTTGTCTATGTGAGTAATGAAGTCTTGTTTCATCAAATAGGAGCTTGGTTTGACCACACCTGGAGTACTATGTGCTGTTTTGGTCTCCTTATCTCAGGATATTAATATTAATATTATTTACATAGGGAGACAATACAAGAAAGATTCGCTAGATGTATTCCTGGCATGGCGGGACTGTCCTATTAAAAGAAATTTGGCAAACTGGGCTTGTATTCTCTAGAGTTTTGATGAATGACAGGTGATTCATTGAAAATTACAAAATATTTAAAGGGATAGACAGGGTAGATGTAGGTAAGATGCTCCCCTTGGTTGGGGATTCCAGAACAAGGAAGCACAATCTAAAAGTAACGTTGATATCTCTTTGGTCTGAAATGAGAAATTTGTTTACTCAGAGGATTGAGAACTTTGGGAGCTGGGAAATCTCAGGTCTTGAGTATGTTTGAAGTGGAAATTGATTGATTTCTCCTATTGGCGTACAGGGTTATGGGGAAAGTGCGGGTAAGAGGCATTGAAATGCTCAATTAGCTATGATCATATGAACATTGGGGCAGGCTCAACCAGCTGAATGGCCTACTATTCTTATGTAAACAACACGCCACTGGAAGTGGCTGGCAAATTCTACTACCTTGGGTCAATGGTGGCAGAGAATCTGACTCTTGGCCTAAAACTCTCTCACACAAACAGCAGCTACCAAATCTGGCTACCTCAAAACAACAATCTGACTCTTGTGACCCATGAGTAGGATGATGAGGACCAATGTTCTTATCACCTTGTTGTGTGGCTGTGCAGCATGGCCAACTCACAGCTTTTGGGAAGGGGCAATTGTCATTTTTGTCAGCAGTGATTTTCATCTTCTCCAGGAAAAAGAAAATCACAAATATAGAAATCCTGTCAGAGGCAATTCTCCCAAAGTATGCTTACACTCCTCAGCCGAGGCAACTTCTTTGCCTTGGGCATGTTTACAGGATGAAAATTGATGGATTCTCAAAGATATGGGGAGAAAGCCAGAACTAAAAACTCCATAACAATTCTTGCATGTATGAGATGAAGCCCTAAACATTGATTTTCACACATGGGAGACACTAATCAACAATGGAAGGAAAAGACAACATTATCTCTGGGCTGGTATGTGCCACCATTTCAATCCGTGTCAAGGGAACTTGACAGCGGGCTCCTATGCCAACAACAATGTCCCACAATGACATCTGATAACCTTTTGGGCAGCACTTGTGATAGAACCTGTATCTCAGATTGATCACTTCAGATCATCAGTGAAAAATGCACCTGGTAGAACTATTCCATTGCCAGTGGATTTGCTGTGTGTCTATTATCACATGTAAATGGAAGGATGCTGGCAGATGCTAATGCATATAAAAACATCTTAACAGCTGTGTCTGTTCAGAAAACAAATAATCAAATGATGAAGAGCTTGACTTTTGGGGAAGGTTCTAAATAGAAATCCTCACTGCCAACCAATTTTAGCACCTTTTAGGAAATGTAAAAGGTACATGCCGAACAGAGAAAGGAGTATGTATATGTATAAAATTTAGCCTTGATTATTTTCTGCTGAAGTATAAATCAAATTGAAAGGCATACCAATGTTAAATTGTTACAAGGATTGGTTCTTTTCACAACTGTGGAATTTTGTTCAAGTATTAAATATTTTCTTCTCTTAGGGTCTTTGCCATGCAGTAAGAAGATTGACCTGGAAATTTCTTCTAAATTATTTCCCATGGGATAGTTCAAAAGAAGATAGAAGATTGTTAACCAAAAGAAAAACGTGAGTTCTTTTTATTCTTCTACAGGTATCATAGATTTGAGAAAGCAGTTGCTACTGTGTCATTTTTCTAGACCTTTACTGTTCTCTTATAAGAGCTACGCAAGAATATTATGATTTCTATTAATACCCAGTGTACTACTTTGTTTTGTTGTGATGAGCAGGGAAGTGAGTTCGAGGTTAATACCCAGTGTTTGGCATATCAGTAGGAATTGAGGAAATCTGTATGTTATTTGTTGTAGTTGGTTTTATGCAATATTTAAAAGTACATTTTTAATAAAGCATTTACCAGCTTAATGAGTTTAGAATTGATTTTTTTGTGATGTTAAATAAACAGTACATCTGGTTGCAGTGACTAAGGCACCAAACAATCCATTTTAGACTTTGCTGATATTTCACTTGTATAGAGATGAGTACTTCAGGATGAAGCTTCAATGGAAATCAGTCAGCGAAGAACAAGAAAAAAGAAATACAAGATTGAAAGATTACAAGAGTCTTATAGGTAAACAAGTCTTTTTTTTTAATTTTGTGTGTAGTAAAAGCGTATATTCAAATTGAAATTCTACTTGTTCTTTGAATGTGAAATTTCATTCTGACTAAGATAAGAATAATGTTTTTAATTACTTCTGGTCTTCTTTACCCACATAAAATACATACTAGGCTAGATGAGAAATTAACCCTTCTGTGCTTTTCTCCAACTCCACATTTTTGCCTCAGCGTTGGAAAAATATTCTGTCTTTGTCAGTCAAAAACACTATATTTTCATTTCCTGCCATCCACTTGTCCTCAGAGTAAGATTGTTAACTCTAGATGCAGAGCTCTGAGTAGTTTTGTTCTGAACAAAGACTTCCAAAACAGTTTCAGTTAAGAACTCTGCAACCATCAAAGAGTGAAAATATTCATCAGCTCTCAACCTTCTCATCAGTTGAGGTTGGATTCTAACCCAGGCCATTACCAGTTCATTAACAAATTGTGTAAAGCTGATGTGACATGACCAATCTCTCATTGCTTATTTATGTTATATATGATTAAATTATTGAATCTGAGTAATCAATTGTGTAGCACTCTCCAATCTTTGACCCTTATTTCTGAGCTGCCCTGGAAACTTCACATTGAGTCTACTACCTTATGCAACTGCCTAAACCTAAGGAGTTGGCTCCCTTCATACTCTACCTTTTATCATTGTTGAACTGATCTTTGAGTCTTTTATCGTAAGAATTGAATGCATATCTTATCACTCAACTCTATGCTTGGTCTGTGTCTTCACAAAAACATTCTTTTTTGCTTGTTGTTTCTTCTTAAAATGTTTAAATCGTTCAGTGATTATTGTGCTGTCTAAGTACCTCTTTTGTATTTAGTAAAAAAAAAAGTTTTCAGTTGTCAGCTTTCAACTTCCTCGCTTGGTAATTGTATGTGATTTATATGGTATACATGGGCTCAAACAATTAAGGATATCCAGAGAAGCTATTGTTGGGTCTAGGCTGTATAATGTTTCTGACTTGGCTGTTTTCTTCGTGCAGTTCTTCCAAATCCTGCTGCTCATAGCAATACCAAATTCATAGGACATGTTCTTATTTTCTTAGTTACCCCTGGAGAAATTATTACGCAGAAAAATATTGTAATTGCAACCATATGGAAAAACATGTCACCTTAATGAATTGTTTCACTGTTTTGGCCATTCTTAACACTTTTTCCACTTAAGGTATTTTTTAATGAAGCTTTTCAAGCTATTATTTGTTGTTTTGTTGGGCTGAGACATATTTTAAGGTATAGCTTAATGATAGAAAGCAGTAAAGCTGTTAACTGTCAGGTCCAGAATTTATCGTATTCATTTTGTAGTCTTAAATTTTCATTTAACCATCTTGGCTTTTCATGTAGAACTGAAAAAGTTAAATTTGCTTTATCTTGACAACTGTTAACATCCTTTTAAAATGTAAATTATAGATTTTTCAAGGACTGCCATTATTATAATGGGTTCTAGTCTCAGACCAGTATCCATACCTTGTATGTAGCAGGCTCATATTGGGTCATATTACTAGTCTAACATTGCATTGACCACATGAACAAAGGAGTGCACTCATGTAATCTTAGTTGCCATGTTTATGTTCATATCTAACTTTTTGAGAGAATGGGTGGCTCTTCTGTCATAACATTAAACAAGCACAAAGGAAGTTTTCAAAATCTTAGGGCAACTTGGAAATTTATAAGGTGCAGTTTTGCAGTAAACTTAGGTAATGCGACTCATTAGTTAGATATATTCTCTCCCAAACATTGTTGTGGTGTACTTAGAAGCCAGACTGTTAGCTTGAATCTGAAATTACATTGCTACTTTTATCATCACATGCACCTTGAAGTTTTCATCTTAAAACCTGAGTTGTAGTGTCAAGCAGTTAAATTGCTCGCAAATTACAAGGTATTAATGAGACTACATCTGGAGTACAGCATACAGGTTTGGTCCCCTTGAGGAAGGATGCAGTTATATTGGAGGCAGTTCAGAGAAGGCTCTTTGAATTAATTCCAGCAGTGAAACATTTTTCTTATGAGGAGAGATTCAGCAGTTTAGGCCCACACTTGCTAAAGATTAGAAGGATGCGAGGAGATGTAACTAAGATATATAAGATGCTAAAGGGGCTTGACAAATTTGATGTAGACTGGATGTTTCACCTTGTGGGGCAATTTAGAACAACAGATCATATTTTAAGGCTAAGTGTCAGACTTAAAAGAGAGTTGAAGAGGAACTACTTCTCTCAAAGTGTCATGAATCTTTGGAATTCACCGCCTCAAAGTTCAGTGGAACACTGAATAATTGTAAGGAGGAGATAGACAGATTTTTAATTAGTAATGAGTTAAAGGATTATGGGGAGCGGGCAGGAAAGTGGAATTGAGGCCAGGATGAGATTAGCCATGATCGTACTGAATGGCAGAGAAGTCTTGAGGGGCTGAATTGCCTACTCCTGCTCCTTGTTTTTGTGTTGTTAAGTCAGTCTTTCTTTAAATGAGTCAGTCTTTTAAATGTTAAGACAATTATTCATTTATTAAACTGCAGACATCTTGAAATTATTTTGCTTACTATTTTTGTTCTTTGATGTTGCTTTATTTGATCCTCACTGAAATGTCAGTATATAAATTCTTCATTCTGATAAGGGATTTCAGTGCAGTGCCTTGATAGTTTAAAGATCATGGTATTTCATTGTGGATTTAATGTGTTTCATCTTGGGAGGGGAAGAAGTAATCCTCTAAAGACCGAGAGCAGTGAAAGAAAACCATGCATGAAGACATTGGTTGAAACTTAGTTCAAATACAGAAATGTAGTCTTTGAAAAGAACAAATGCTTTAATTCCTCTTTAATTTCAGAAAGTTGCTTGAAAATTTTAATTTGTTTGGAAACAAATATCTCTTTTAGAGAAAGACGTCAACAGAACAGATAGAACAAATCCTTTTTATGAAGGGCATGAAAATCCTGGATTGATTTTATTGCATGACATATTAATGACCTACTGCATGTATGATTTTGATCTTGGTAAGTATTATGATCTGTGAAAACCATGTTCAGTTTTACTTATGCAAACATTTATTATTTTGTAAATCTCTAGCTTTAACTGTATGAATAAAATATGATACAATATTGTATTTTTGTAACATTAATTTAAGCTTTAATAAAAATATTGCAAAGATATGCCTATATAGATAGTGACAGCATGCAAATAAACATTTGCTATTAAGTTACTAATTTCAATTGAGTTTAATAGTTACTGCAATCGCTTGTCAAATAGGTGACTTTATTATTGATTAATTATGCACTGTTTAACCTTTAGGGTACGTTCAAGGAATGAGTGACTTGCTTTCTCCCATATTGTATGTTATGGAAAATGAAGTGGATGCCTTTTGGTGCTTTGTTGCTTTCATAGAACAAATGGTAAGAATTAAAATTAGCTAGTATTGAATTCTAAGTTTTGCAAGCACCTCAAATGGATCTCCCAATCTTTTTTTAAAAGTTGCACATCCATAGAGTACTGAGTTCAGAATTTAGTTCACAAGGAAAAGGAACTAAACTTCTCTACAGCACACTTACAATGTGTAAGTTCCTTTGAGATTTAAATAGACACTCCATTTATATCATCTAATTGCCATATGATGTCTCTTATTGCCTACATAATATCATAGTTTCACAATTTTAAGTGATGTAATGATCGTTGTTTAAATGCAGTTTTGACCCTAAGACAAACTATTGATAGGGGGGCCACCCAAAATCCCAAAGGTCTGTTGAGTTTAGGATGGTTTATTGTTAATAGTGATGAAGAGATTACTGTTTTCTTTCCTCAAGTAATCTTAAAGCTAGGAATGTAAACGAGCCATCTTTGAAAACAAATATGTATCCTCATGCCATTATTCATAATTTCCAGCAGTTGAGAGATTTTCAATTGACAGTGCCACATTACAATGTTATTCCCTTCACGTAACACTAGATATAACTACATGTTGTTGAGTAATCAAACTTAGCCTAATTTTAAGAATTGATGAATTTGTGTTAGTTGCATGTTTCATGAATATATAAATCTTACATAAGAATAGAAAAGTTACTTTGTGTCTGATATAACCAAAAATAATTTTCCAACACTTGAAGTACTAACCTTTTGACTCAATTCAATTCTGATCTTGATCTTTCAATTCCATCTATTTGTCTACCTACCTTCCTTTGTGTATTTGCACCTGATATCTTATTTTTTTCCTATGTATTCGTTGCATCCTTTTATTTGCCATAATTCTTCTATATCTACCTTCTCCCTTTGCTATTGTTTTATTTTTCTTCATCTGTTCTCTTTCTTTATATATTTCTTTCCCCCTTCCCTTTCGTGGTCTATTTCTCATCTTGCATTTAATGTTTCTATTTTGCTGTGTTTAATTGCTTATCTCCCACAATTTGGAAGAGTTTGAAAGTGAATATGGGAATTCAGAACCTTTTAATTGTCTGATACTGATCAGTAGAAGGAAAATAGATGAACAATATTAATTGGTGGATTCTTGACATGGATTAACTAGTTTGTGATTAAGTACAACTTTTCATTCACAATCAAATGAAAAGTATCAAAATTATTATTTTTAGTATTCATAAAATTCTAATATAATTTGTATGTGTAATATCTTTACTGTAGCATTGCAACTTTGAGGAACAAATGCAAGGCATGAAAACAGAATTATCCCAGCTTAGTACATTATTAAAGTTGCTAGACCTTGGGTTCTGGAATTATCTTGGTAAGTTTACTTTTTAAGTGTCCATCCAAAATGCTAGATTTTGCTCTGTATTCATCTTCCTGTAAGGTAATTGGTTTTATGATTGTGGGCACCATTAATAATTGTTGCCTGCCGATTGAATGCATTAGCATAGACACTCTTGGAAACCAATGTGCAAATCGTTAGGTGCTGTTTTTCCACATTACTAAATACCAACTTGACAACTATCCCCATGCTTTCAGTAAAAAAAAACAGTCGTGATGGGAAGTCAGAATTTTTTGTTTTGCAGAATAAAAACACATTTTAAACAGAGAACTACATTTAAATAAAAAACTAAAAGGATAATTGCAGGATCCTAAAACAGATATTTAATCAGTTTTTGCAATTAATAAATTGAATATACAATATTTTAATTTGTTATTAATTTGAAAGGCTATAAGAAGCATGTGTGGTATTATTCTGAAATTTTTAATTTGGTTGCATCCCATTTGGAAACAAGTTTAAAATGTTCAGTTTCTACTTGTTCACAGAATGCTTTTTTTATTCTCATCTGCCTTGTTAAAGCAATGTTAATCTGAAGCCCCAACTAAGATCTCAAGTGAATGTAAAAGTGCTGCTTCAAAGAGGAGCAATGGAATTCTTCAGATGCCTTCACTAATGTCACTCAGCCACCAAAAACAGACTTGCTAGCCATTTATCTTTTTCTATTGATAGGTGTTGCTGGGCATGCACTAATGTAGTTGTTTCTTCACATTTCTTTAATAACCATACATGTTACATTTTAAAAATACATTAAGAACTGTAAAATGCTTTGCACTCCCCTGCAAATGTTATTAGTTTTAAATAAAAGCAACTTTTGTTTGTTTCAAGTCAGTTCAGAAATCTAAGCTTTGATATTTAAATATAAATATGAACAAAATAACTATGCTGCAGAGTATTTTAGATAGCCCTACTCAACTGGATAAGAGGATTTCTAACAAGATAAGTTGTTTTCCTAGAATCTCAAGAATCTGGATATCTGTACTTCTGCTTCAGGTGGCTTCTGATTCGGTTCAAAAGAGAGTTCAGCTTTCAAGATACTCTTAGACTCTGGGAGGTTAGAATCATTTCATGCGTATTGTACAGATGAATGTGCTTTTGATTTTCGGTTGATCTTTAAGAAAAGTTGGGAGAATTACTTTGCAATAACTCTGCTTATAGTTAAAGGAACAAAATGTTGCTGAATAGGAAGACATGTTGCTGAAAAGTTTCATCTTGCCCTCATCAGGGCAGGTGCAAGAATGCCAAATTTCAACCAATAACAATTTATCCTACAGGAGAAATTGGCTGGGAAGTTGAGTCTGGTTGAGGGAATGCCAGGGAGAAAACAACAAAGAACTATACGTTTCCAATGTTGCTGGGAAATTTGAAAATGACATAAGCCTTGAACATGTTTCTTTTGTTTGCAGAGAATGTATTTGAAATAACTGCGCAGAAGCTGGTATCCTGTCACCAAGTCACCCTTTATTTACATGTGCACGATGCATGGATTGTGACCAACCAGTGTAAAGCTAGTGTGAAGAGGCCTTCTGAATGTCCTGTTGAGATCTGTCAGCCAGGGCTCCCTGATTGGCCCAGGTTAACAACCCCAATCAAGGATCTCATAGTTAATACTAGGGCAGCATGGTGGCTCAGTGGTTAGCACTGCTGCCTTACAGCGTCAGGGACCCGGGTTCAGTTCCACTCTTGGGTGACTGTCTGTGTGGATTTTGGACATTCTCCCCACCTTTGCGTGGATTTCCACTGGGTGCTCCAGTTTCCTCCCACAGTCCAAAGATGCGCAGGTTAGGTGGATTGGCTGTGCTAAATTACCCATAGTGTTCACGGATGTGTAGGTTAGGTGCTTTAGCCATGGGAAATGCAGGGTTACAGGGATAGGGGAGGTGGATGGGGCTGGGTGGCGTGCTGTTTGGAGGGTCGGTGTGGACTCGTTGGGCCAAATAGCCTGTTTCCACACTGTAGGGACTCTATGGAACATTCTATCGAATCTACCTGGCCATGGTTCCAATCAGTACAATGTCCAAATGCTATGAGCTCAACTGGGTATCTTAATTTGGTTGTTACTATTGCTCTTGGTGTACTCAGGACTGTTCAGCAAATTCTGCCCAACTGCAGAATCATATTTACCCATAGATATTTTGTTATATTTTCCATTTTTGTTTTGAATTTGGTTTGTACTCTGCCTTTTCCAAACAACTAGAAGAATATCTTAAAATATAAGGATATGATGCAGTCCTATAAAACATGCCATACATGTCAGGTAGTTCAGAAACCTCAACATGTCATCACACCGGTACCTTTAATACCCGTACCAGATTTTGAAGAGCCATTTAGTAAGGTCTTTATACAATGGGTAGGACCAATACTAAAAGTAAAAGTGAGGCACCAGTATATCCTCTCAATCATGCACATGACAACCTGATTTCCAGGGGTTGTTCCTTTTGAGGACAATTACAGACCCGTTCAAGGAGTTATTGTAATAATAAAGTCAGCAGTGATCTCTGGAAGGAAATTTTGATTGATGGAACAAATGTGTCTGTCAATTCAGAGGAAAACTCTAATTATGACAAAGAAATCTCTGTTTGTTTGAAACAAGAGATAAAAATACTGAATTGGAAGCTGAAGTTAAGGAATGTGGAATGCATAACCCTCTCATACAAAAGGGGCAAAAGCCTTTTCCATTGGAAGAATATGGAACAAATGTTCACTGATATAGAGCAGGGCTATCTGTACCCTCAGATCTAAATCTTAATCGCTGTAGTCGGCAAGTAGAAATTTCCCTTAAAATCATTTGTTGTTTCTGCATTCACCACCGTCATGGGGAAGAAATAGCAGCTGGCTAAAAGTGTTCTTCATTTGCCTCTGCATGTCATGTCCAAAATCTTAAGTCTGTGTTCCTTGGCTACCTTGTCTAAACATGTCACAGTTGTTAATACTAATATAAAATTTCTTTTCCATCTCCTTTCCTTAGAACTATTTTCTCTCTCCATTATTTTCAGCACCCTCTCAAGGACCTTCACATCTTTCCTCAAGTGTGGTGATCTAAGTAGACTCAGTACTCTGGTTGAGGTCTAACTAGAAGTCCAAACAACTTCAGAGCAACTCGCCTGCTTTTGTACTCAATACCTCTACTTATGAGGTCCAAGACCCCACATGGTTTGCTAATCACTCTGAAAATCCTGCCACCATGAAAGAACAATATGCATGTATCCCCAGGACCCTCTGTTCCTGCATACATTTTAGATCTAAACTAAATCTCTCCATTCCTTGTATCAAAACACATCACCTCACACTTCACTGTCTGTATTAAGTACCTTCTGCTACCTGTCTGCCTATTCTACTTGGGTATAGATGTCCCGTGCAGGCAATTTGTAATAATTTGTGTGCCACTCCTCTAAGTTTGGTATCATCAGTTAATTTTGAAAGTTTACTTCATATTCCAAGATCCAAACTTATAAATGCAAGCAAGAAAAAGTGACGAGTAATCTAGTAGTTCCAAATATACAGTTCTATTGAAAGCCTTCTCAAAATCCACATCTCTTTGTTATATTTGTCTGAACAATATTAAGCCCTTGCTGCCATTGGGAAGAAGAACAAGCATTCCTGCATTAATGTACTCAAAACAGAGTCTTTGGGAACATATCTAAACTTGATTTGTAGCTCCCAGAAGGAGGGGTAGAAATTTGGCCTAGGTATCCATCATTTGGTTCTCTCCCATTTGGTATCTTTTGAGTTCATTTAGGTGAGTAATTTAGAGAGAATGGAGTTCTAGTTTCCCCTGACAATATTGAGTGAATAGTATTTATATTTCTTAAACTGTGCCTTCAGCTACATGTTCAGCTGAATACACCACTAAAAAAGAATAAATGTAACAATTATAACATCAACCAGGTGGGAAAAAAAACAAAAAATTAAATTGTGAAGATATTTGAAGGTTTTTTTTTGGAGGTGCTGACACTAGAACTGTTATCAAGTATATTCATATCTTCCTCCTGTTTCTGGAAAGAATCACAGTAGTAATAATCAAATCACAAGAATGGAGGAAATTAAATTCTGGCTAACATTTGGCGGAGGGGAAAATATCCTCTTTGTTTTCTAGGTTATGTGGACTGGATTGCCTTGCCAGAATTTTCATCTGTTAATATGCTGTGCTATACTAGACTCTGAAAAACAGAAGATAATGGAAAACCATTATGGCTTTAATGAAATTCTAAAGGTACTTAATTATTTATACACTAAAAGATCAGATGCAGAGTTGCATGTTTTGCCAATATTTCAGATCAGAATCAAGCAGTTAGTTACAGCACAGAAGGAGGCCATTCAGCCCATTATGTCAGTGCTCCAAAGGAGCTGTTCACCTCGTTGCCATTTCCTGTGTTAACCCCATACACCTGAACCCTCTCCCTTTTCAAGTAATGATTGAATTCCCACTTGAATCCCTTGATTGAAGCTGTCAAGCTCTGCATTCCAGATCTAACCATGCAGTCAGTGAAAATATTTTTCCTCATTGTTGCTTTTGCTTCTTTTGCCATTACCTTAAATCTGTGCCATCTGTGCCTGGATTTTCCGGGGTCTGGCAATCCCACATAGATTACTGCTCCAGGTTTTACAAAAGAAGAGGGCTCCTCAGTTATGAATGGAGATTCTAATCAAGGCTTCTCCAGAAGTGCAGATCTTACTTCTATTCTGACAATTCTTTAATAATGTAGACCGGTCAGCGGTAGGCAAACCATGCCCCTGTTTCACAACAGTCAGCTGCAGTATTCTGAAATGTAAAGGTCTAGACAGCATGTTGACAGCTGCTGTTAAAAATTAAGTTCACGAGGTAAGTGTGATTTTCAGCTTCCCTGAGGGTAAGGTGTTGGGAAGGTGGGCTGCCAGGTGAAGTGGCTGCCAAGTGGTAGGAAACAGGGTGTTCAATTGGTAGGTGCAAGTTGGCAAGGGAGCCAGGTAAGTGATGCAGTGTTTGGGATAGGTCGACAAGGGTGTGTGTTAGATCCGGCAATGGAGTGTGTGGAGTTAGGTTGGTCTGGGAGGGGAATAGATGGAGGTGGGTCTGCGGTCACGTTGGGGTCAGTTAAATAGTTACTCGGGAGTAAGACTATAATAGCCTAACTTTTCCGGAGTGGTTATTCATTTAATTTCATTGAAACCCTCTGAAGTATTGGATTTAAATTGAGCCTTTTGGAGATTTTCAAGCACAGAGAAGTTGCCCAGTGAAACCTACAATTTTCCAGACAATTAATTTAGAATCTGCTATGATGGGAATTCCTCAGGGTCCCCATAAGCAATTCCAATACAGACTGGAATAATGAATCCCTGGTAAATGGAAAATCCAGGCTCTAATTCTTAATCCTTCTACCAATGGGCACAGTTTTTTCCCCCCCTTATCTAATATGTCCAGACCATTTTATGATTTTGAATATCTCTATCAAATCTCTTCCCAACCTCCTTCAAGGAAAACATTCTTCATACCTAGGGATGAGAAATGTCATTCTCCTGAATCTTTTAAAAACACAGGCAGGCTTAATCTTCCTTAAACTTTATATAACGCAGGATTTGGCTTTTTTTTCTCCTTGAAATCCACATTGAGGACTTCTTATTTTTTGTATTCTTCTTAGCACATCAATGAACTTTCTTTGAAGTTGGATGTAGAAGAAGTACTTTGTAAAGCAGAGGCAATTTACTGTCAAATGATGAAATGTAAGGTGAGTGATGTGCCATGAAGTGTTTAACCTTACAGTAATGAACTATGCTTGTCAATGTGACAAGCCTTTTGGATCACCAGGTGCATTTTATACCAGCTGTTAATTAAAGTATACATGCTTTTATTGCATAGAGAAATACTGTTAATGTAGATAATATTATAATAAATTTGATAATCTTCTCAAGTTATTCATTAGTGTTTATAATTTTGACCAGCGAAAGTAGCTGTAATATGTTGTCATAAATGATTCAAGCTATCAATACAGTTTAATTAGATTGTGTGGTACATTTTGTTTAAACAAACATATTTAAAAACATTTGTTTAATCTTACTAGTGTTATGTTGTGTCTACACAGTCTATTTGAAATTATATGTACAATTCACTCATGAATGCATATTGGCTCAGTTTCAAATATTCATGTCAGTTCTGAATGCATACTTTTAAAAACTCACTTGATCATCTCTGCTGTTACGTAGACTTATCAGTTAATATGGAGAAATTGCAAAGTAACAAAAGGTTTTCCATGGCAACCTTTGACTACCACATTCCAATTTCCTGTATGCTGTCGTTGCCAAGGTCACAGCTTAAAATTACAATACCATGAGTATATTTTATGTAGAATAGAAATAACTTGAAATTAAAGTTTACTTTCTTTTTAATTAAATTATTCTGTGTATTGTGTAGGATTTGCCGCAGGCTGTTGGTGAAATTCTCGGCCTAAAGGATAGCACAGTTATAACCCCTGATTTGGAAATTAGTGCACCTGAGACAGGGGTTCCCAAAAATTCCTGGCGGGCAAACCATTCAGATTTGGCAGTGGCTTCCTTTATGCAGACAAATGAAAACTTAGCCGAACATACGGACACTGCTCAGAATGGGCACAAGACAACCGCTGTAGAATGAAGCTGAAATCTGAAATTTTGTAACCCCAGCCAAGTGAGATGCCACAATTTGTTTACTTTTTTGCAAAAGTCTTCGTAGATAACATATCAGTATTTGGAATCATCAGTGGGTCTAGATATGTTTAAGACAAGAAAGTGCAAGATTGGTATGGGAAATTCCCCTGTTGCAATTCCAAATGTTTTTTAAAAATGAATGCAAAGAAAGTGTACTTTTTCTAATTGCTTAAAACCATGAGGGCCTTCGTATGGAAATGCATTTTTCAGACTTCCTCGTGTCAAACGTGAATGTTGAATAGTAATGAGGTTTTGTTTCATATTAAGAAAGTAACAATTATTTTGTTAATTCATGAATGCTTATCTAATTAGTATCTGTGATTTTATTGAAAGAGGGTTTTCTCTCAAAAATTGCTCCTGAAATCAAAGAAATTTTTTTGTGGTCTTCGAATAAAATTTATAATTAGCTTGTCCAATCCAAATAGGTGCTTAAAGCCTGTCTAAAATGAGCACTTGGTGTGATATTTCATCTTGATCAAGATTTAGGAAAACAAACATTGTGGGTGGAGGGTTTTGGATAATGGTCAGCTGTTGGTTAAGTTTTCACAAAGCTCCACCAGACAAATTTATTCTTGAAAGAAATCTAATATTTTAGAGCTACTGTACAGATTTTGACAGCGCCAACAAAATTGATTGCAAGTATTTGTAAAATAACCTGTGAATATTGCAAATGAGACTTCAGCAACTGAATATTGTATTCTACAGTGCTGTAGAGGAAGAAGTTGCTTACAAGTTTTGCTGCTGTGATACATTATTATATGCAGTATTAATTAAAGAATATTCACCACATTATTACATTAAATCTGAGACTACAAAACCTGAAGTTAGTTGATAGCAGGAGAGTTCTTTTCAGGGATCCTGTAAGGTTTAGCACTGCTAGAGATTGTCAGAACTGCCAAGTAAGGTATTTTTATTGCAATTAATGGAATGCTTAGTAGACAAATATCCCTGATCAAAATGCAAAACAAAAAATTATATAATCTTCTAATCTACTGAGAATATATTTTGAAAAGCATATTTTTAAGCTACTGCATCTCCCATCCATACTCTAATGTATGGTTAATAATTAACGCTTGTTCAATAAATGTATAACTTGATTTACTTTGATTTTTATTATAAGAAGAAATGTACAGTGGCACAATTTCTAACAGTTGTATAAAGCCTGAAATTTTGTATTTTGACTGTGTACAAAAGTAAATGTAATATATAACTCTCCTTTCTAACATATGTACTGTGTGTTCACAAGGGACTATTTTTAGTACAAATATGTTTTGTTGAAAAGGAAATCCCTGTTTGCACTGCTTTTTATTACGGAAAACTCAAGATCATTTTACTTTACAAAGGCATTAAAGTCAAGTACATGGAAGAAAGGCGTAAAATTACATAAGTTTGTACGTTACCCATTAATATAAATGTAACAAAGAAACTTTCAAATTGAAATAAACATTCTTGAAGAGTTTAGTTCAAACGGAGTTTCTGGAAAATGTTAATATGATATCTCACAGACTAAAAAGCTCCGACTTAACAAACAGTCAATAATAATGCCGTTGCCTGAGCAGACACTACTTGGTGCTTCAGCTCTGATAGTAGCTCTACTTATTTTGAGTTAAACTTAGAGCATTGATAACCATGAAACAAACTTGATGTTTAAAATATTTAAAATCTTTACTTTCTTAGAATATATTCTATATATTTTTCAGTGTGTAATATGCCTTGTTTAGTTACATAAAGTAAATTACCATGGAATGGGACAATACAATAAGGTAGGTTGGAGAAGCCTATAACACCTTTTCTGAGGGTATTCATCAGTTAAGATCTTTACCTGCATTTGAGGAGCATGGGTGGTGGTGTTTTCTTTATTGCCTACTGCTTCCACTCAGCATATCTTGGTGTTGTACATCATTCAAAATAATTAGACATAATATAATATTTTCCATGCGAAGGCCATACATAGATTTGAACAGAACAGCAGCTTATTGCCCTGTGTATTTTTACAAAAATGTTATGAAAAGTTTTATGGAGGTGCCATGCCACAGCACCTGTATTAATGACATAAATCACAGATAAGAAAAAAAAAAGTAAAAATTAAGGCCAAGTTCATCTCGGATCCGTTTCAGTACTGGAAACACCAATTAAAATGATGAATGCTGGAATACCTGGATGCTGCCACTGAAGAAGACCTCCATGTCGGGACAAGACCACCAAACCGAGACCACCCCTCCGGGACATGGTGACCACCATGCTGGGACGAATCTGCCCCTCCAGGACATGGCGACTGCCCGCCGGTCTGTTAGAATACCCATACAGTAGACATTATGACTGGTAGATACTGCAAACGGTTCTTCTCAGTTACTTCACAATTGTTCCTGAAGGTAGATCTTGTACCCTTTTAATCTTGAAGCAAAATTATCCCTGTATGGAAAATTGCATGCTCCGTGGATGAATGATAATATAATTGCTGTAATCTGTACACTTGATCGAATGTTATAAAATGCTGTTAGTTCTCTCTTCTTTAGCCAAAGTATTAAATCTGGCTAAGGTTTGGACTGGTTCATTTAACTAATACGAATTTATTTGGAATGATGTGGAGATATGAAACACAAAAGATACATTTTAAAAAAGGAAAGAAATAAAGTATATGCAGAAGAGATTAAAGGAACTAAATGGATAACTGTCAGAGGTAGAGCCACTATAGACGAAATAGCTTCCTTCCACATGGAAAAAATGTCTATTATTGATTTATAAATCCTTTGTTTGTCCAACTAAACATTTTTTAAGACGGATTCCTCAACACTGTTTTCTTGAAATTGCAATAAACCAAGTTATTACATTGAAAATTAAATCCATTTCCATTTATAGGTACACTGTTTAAAGCTTATTTGTAATGAAAATTTTCCTTGAGCTGGGGGAAAACATTTACAAACTTGCAGAAATTTTTAGTTTACACAATTATAGGGAGTCCAAGAAGAGTACTAGCATCCTCTGAAGGCTTTAATTTCCTGTTGCCCAGGAAATTAGCACAGATCAACTTCATCTTTCGTTCAGTTTATGCCTCACATTTGTTCTTTGTTGGTGATATTTGCTTTCTCCAAATTTCTTATTGGTTTAAAAAGATTTATTGTGCAGTGTTTCAATAGCTATGACATACATTCTTTGCCATTTGTAAGGAAACTACTTTTATTAAAAATGTGCCATAAATTCTTGACGTGGAATATTTTGTCTCTGTAGGATGCTGTCTTTTTAGTTAGGTACATAAAATTACATTTATCTCAACAATTTATTGTTTCTTACATTGTAAAATGTGAATTGATAATATTGTAGACTAAAATGATCAGTTATGTTTATATCTGCCATTGCAAAAAACATCTGAGTTTCACAATAACCTCATGCTGTTCAGTTGAAACCTCAAACTTTTACTTCGGAACTAATGAAGGTACAGTATTTGTGAATTGGTTTTACTTCCTGATTTATGATTACGCATGGGAACTCCTACCTCCTAGAAGGTATTTCTTCATTTTATGACACAGTAAAGACTTCTTACAAAGAAAACCTCTGCAGACATTTGTACGTACCTTGTTTTCTTTTGTAAGGGAAAGAAATATATCCCTTCATGGGAGTGCATCTATTAATTAGTGGGATATAAAATTTAACTGTTTATGAGCTTGCCTCCATCCGTAGATTCTCATCCATTATCAATTATGGATAATTCTGGGCAGCACACCTGTACCACTTAATTTTGCTTGGTTATTAATACTGGAAGCTGACTGCAAATGTTGTCACTGTCAACTATTAAGTGAGGGGGGAAGAAAGTTCAAAACAGCTCTGATTATATTTTTGATTGTAGCAAATATTATGATTCTAGCTGGTGTTAATACTTGAGTCAGATTCCAGACTAGTATTTAGCTTGACAGTGCTCTTTCACTGCAACACAAATATGCTTTGCTGCAGTTTTGGCTCAACAATAAAACAGAAGTTTATTAGGCTATTAAAATTAAGAATAAACCAAGCTATTTGTATGTAACATACATTTAATGATTTAGAAACAGTGCGTAAAACACTTTGATCCCAAAATTGCACATTTACAGGACTTAGCAGAGAGAATCCTCTTCTCTTTTGTACCACAAGGCTTAATTTAACTGTGGCTTCAACTCACCACTTTGAGAATTTAATAACCTCATCCTGGAGCCTTCATATAACTGACTTTAGAATTTCTCAGCTTCAAATTATTCCTTCAGGTTGAAATCAAATACTTCTGGTCTGGAACTTTCAAATGAAACTGCTTACACTGAAGTAACATATTAAGAATTCAAAACCATCTCCATTAATCAGAAGCAATTAAATTGTAAATTCAGCTTCAACCAAGACTTCTGCAAAACAACCAAACTGAAATCCAAAAGTTTATTCCCAAGCCATCAGTGTTTCCCTAATCAAAAGTAAAAAGAAAATAATAATCTTTGGCCTTCTGAACTGAAATCCTGATGCACTTTTACTTGTTTGCTTTTAGAATCTCCAAAAACTATAACGGTCAGACTGTTTTAAAAGAAAATGGCTAGAGTAATACCTTCAAGTTAATCATTGAGCCCCTTCAGACACAAACCAAAACCATATTCCAATAGCTCAAATCTGAACTCTCCAATAAATGGTATTAAAATATAGATAAATTATGTTGCGTGTATCCCCAGGAAAGGATGAAAATGAATCTTTAGGTAGTGTTTTCATTACTAATCTAAAATTATCTTAACATTATTGCGATGTTCACATTAACACTAAGTGACATTGAAATTAAACATACAATTGGTTACAGTGCTACCATGTTTTACATTAGTCATAGAGTTGTACAGCATAGAAACTGACCTTTTGGTCCAACTCGTCAATGCCACTGAAATATAAACTGATCTAGTCCCATTTGCCAGCATTTGGCCCTTGCCCCTCTAAACCCTTCCTATTCATGTACCCATCCAGCTACCTTTTAGATGTAATTGTACCAGTCTCCTCCTCCACCTCTGGCAGCTTGTTCCATACCGGCACCACCCACTGCATGAAAATGCTGCTTCTTCAGGTCCCTTTTATATCTTTTCCCCTCTCATCTTAAACTTATGCCTTCTAGTTTTTGACTCCCATTTCCTGGGTAAAAGACCTTGGCTATTCACCCTATACTTACCCCTTGTGATTTTCTAAACCTCTACAAGGTCGTCCCTCAGCATTTGAAAAAAGCCCCAGCCTATTCAGCCTCTCCCTATAGCTCAAATCTTCCAACATCAGCAACATCCTTCTAAATCTTTTCTGAACCCTTTCAAGCTTAACAGCATCTTTCTTATAGCAGGGAGACCAGAATTGAATACAATATTCTAAAAATGGCTTTACCAATGACCCTGTGAATACCACATCATTGTGTCCTTCATATGCGCTCTTGATAAAGCATCTGCTATAGCATTTTCTTTTCCAGGGAGATGAATAATTTTCAAACTATATGATTGAAGAATTAAACTCCAGCTAAATATTTGTAAGTTTTTGTACCAAACTTCTTCAAAAATAAAATCAACAGATTACGGTGCATAAATGACAATACCCTTCAAGGTGTTCATGATGTAAATTTCAGAATGATGTAGCGCCAGCACACGACTGTTTCTTTTTCAGTGGCTGAATATTACCGATATGCAGTCAGTTTCTTTGGAAAATAACTGACCGACCATACAATTCCTGTCTATTTACCTTGCAGTAAAATGGTCCCCATACTCATATTGCTAGGTGATACTTGGCCTTATTTCAGTGTGGCTAAAATAAATCACCTTTGCCTTGCCAAATTCACTCAGCCAAATTGGTTACAAAAAGCCAATTTGTTCATCAATCAAAAAGTTTGGTAAAATGGTGTAGATGTTATGCCCAGTTTTGAAAAAAACAAAATAATGAATGTAAACAACAGTTACATAGTCCTTCAATGACTATGTAGGTTAATCTATCGAATGCTGCGAATGCACTTTCCATTCCATATGGCATGAGTTTGCATTGATGTTCCTTCACTTTGCTTGTGGATTAGAATATCTGCCATCATAAATGGAGCCTCCGATGAAGTGGTTATTCTACTCCACTTGGAATTTATTCTGTCCAGTCCATTATGGGTTTATATATGGGGTCCAATTCTGTATGTTTGTTGATTGAAGTATGGGTGGAGAACCATGCCTCTAGGAATTCCCGTGCATGTCTTTGTTTGGCTTGGGCTACTGTTGTCCCAGTTAAACTAATGGCCTTCATTGTCTGAATGTACCGATATTAAGGAGAGTTCATCATGCCGTTTTGCTGCTAGCTGATGTTCGTGTATTCTGATGGAATTGGATCCCATGTATAAACCCATACAGATCAAAACCGGAAATGACAGTACTCACCATAACAGACCAGACAGTATAAATTCCCAGCGGAGTAGAACAACATCGCTTCATCGGACGCTCCATTGATGATGTCACCTAGCAC